ACATTCTAACAAACATTTTATCAAAAGAACAAAAAATAAACCATCCAAGTCTAATGGAGACAGACATATATTGGTTGTGAGTCTGTAACATCCTGACAGTGATATAGCTGACTACTTAATATTCATGATCAGGCTAGTTCATTCAGGTTAAAGTAACAGTGTGCAACCAAATAACATACCTATAAGAAGGAAAGAAGACCGAGCAATTTCGAGTCGAGGATCAAATCTATATGAAGCAGCTCCCTGGAACACGAAAAGGAGAAGACCGAGCAATTTCGAGTCGAGGATCAAATCTATATGAAGCAGCTCCCTGGAACACGAAAAGGATTGAAATCACCTGGCCACAAGCAATTTCGAATCTTCATTTTTCTTGGTGGAAGTTTGTTCTTGTTCTTGTTCTTCGTCGTCTTCGTCTTCATCTTCGTCGTCATCTTCTTCTTCGCTGCCCATTGACTCGAGAAAAAGAGGCAAGTCCTCGACAGCCACCTTAATCACATCAGTTCGAACGCCAATGTCGGTGGCATATCGACTCATGGTGTACATTCCAGCAGTCATCACAGCCATGCCAACAGGACTTGGCATAAGCAGCTTCAAAGGAGAGGAAAGAATGGCAGCCAAGGGAGCACCAAATGCCAACAGGACTTGGCATAAGCAGCTTCAAAGGAGAGGAAAGAATGGCAGCCAAGGGAGCACCAATAACAGAAGTAGCTTGACCACTTCTTCCAACTCCAAGCCTGTCTACAATCAGAAGGCCTGTTTTGCAATATAAAGCAAAATCCTCACAGTTGTTTTGGAAAACATTGTAGTTTCCGAATCCGTTTTGAAGAAGATACATTGCTCGGTGAATAACGACATCGAACGAGTCGGATGTAGCAGTGGTGCAAGTGCCACCCCTAACCCTGGAAAGGAAAACTGATGGGGTGACCCCATAATCAAAGCAGTAAAGGGATCCATTTCTTAGGAAGCAGTCCAGACATGAAAGGACTACCCCGCTGTTCAGCTGTTTGAATCCACAGTCAGGGAAAACCGGACAGGATGATGGATTGCTTGAACTTGAACCATAGAAATCAGGAGGTGTGTCAGTGTTTGAATGTAAGGTTCTTTGTGGTCTAAAATGCACAACCTTGCTTCCCCCGACAAAAATGCCTACATGGAGAAACCAGTGGATTCATGGTCGTGCTTAGTTTAGAATGTAAAATTTTATACATAAAGTTTTGTTCTAAACTGTCAATCTTATAGATAAAGTTTCAAATGAAAAATCCTATGCATACAGGTCTTAACGAGCTGAAAATTGCAAGGACCTGCTAAGGCAATCGATATCCAGCCAAAAGAAAGCAAAATCAAACAAAAACCTGCGGAGTGTAGGAATTCGAACCACCGACACGTCACGTTAGTTGGAGAGGAAAATGAAGCATTGTTTATAAGGGTGTAGAAACTTCTCCCTCGCCGACCATTTTAAAAATGTTGAGGGAAAAGTCCAACCAGGAAAATATGTAGTAGTGTATGCTTTAACGAGTTTAGCTATGCTTGGATCGGACTTAGAATATGATTTCTATCAGCATTAGGATGAAACACACAATTTATAGAGAAATGCACTTGAAGTGAAACGAAGCTCAGACAATATACATTAGCAATATAGTAGCAAGAACAATAATGCTGAACAATGAACAGCAGTTCATGCGATTTACTCCCAGAAATAGAAGAATCAGCCAGAAAAAAGAGAAACCCAGAAACAGAAATAAGGGGATAAGTGAAATTTCAGATCGTGTTCATCGCATAGAATCTCAAAATTCAAAATGGGGGGAAGAAATATAGAGAAATACCATGATGGGAATAGGCGAAAACAGCTCTATAAGTGTAAATATGATCGCCTGGTATATAGAGAAATACCATGATGGGAATAGGCGAAAACAGCTCTATAAGTGTAAATATGATCGCCTGGTTTGATTTGGCTTCTCTCCACTCGATTACTGATCAAACCCATTTGCTTCCTTCGCCTGCTCTCTCTGTTTTCTGGGTCTCTACTTCTTCATCGAACCGCCAATCGGAACAAATCTGGAGTACCCACCACAGTCGCTGACTCACTGAGAAGACGACCGACAGAAATTATGACTTTCTTTTGGAAAAGAAGGAAAAAAACAAAGCGGAAGAAGCGAAATGTGTGGGTTATGGTGTGGCGATCAATGGTTGGGTGGTGCGAGAATCAGTTCAACAAACCCATTTCGCTTTTGGGTCTCTGTGTGGCGATCAATGGTTGGGTGGTGCGAGAATCAGTTCAACAAACCCATTTCGCTTTTGGGTCTCTTTTTTCTTCCGGATTTGCTTTAAAAAGGCGCCATCATATGAAACACCCTATAAAATTGTACCTTTGATCCCATTTCGCTCAATAGATCAACATTTCCACTGCTTAATCCAGCCAAACAATTTGAACAGGATAGCAGAAGATCGAATGAAGGGAAAAGGCCATTTTATTTTGGAAGAAAGAAAAAAGGAAGAACAGGATAGCAGAAGATCGAATGAAGGGAAAAGGCCATTTTATTTTGGAAGAAAGAAAAAAGGAATTGAAATTAGATGGGTGCAATAATTATTGATTTAGAAATTGGTTGTTGGAATTGGAAATGGAATGTAAAGTGAGTAATGAGGGAATCTTTTGTGCTTTGGATTCGTTGCCATTGTTACAAGTAAATGGAATGTAAAGTGAGTAATGAGGGAATCTTTTGTGCTTTGGATTCGTTGCCATTGTTACAAGTCATGCTTTGGCTAATGCTTTAAGCATTTTGTTATTCTTTTCCATCTTCGCAAAATAAACTCTAATACTATTGGGGGCGATTTTGAATTATGTTATACCTTTTGTATTAGAACGATATATGACGATGTTTTTATTTATTGTGCTCAAAATGAA